GCCTGCTGGGGGGGGGGTTGTCTCAGACCCAGAAACTCAGTCCACTCAGAGGCTGTGGAGGAGGGGAGAGGGGGCCGGTGGGGGGCACTGACTCTGCCAGGCCCCGCTCCTGGGCTGATCCTCCTGACAGCGCCACCTACATCCACCTCTCTGTCTGCAGCACCATCAAAGACTGACTCCTGGGGGGGGCAGCAGATCATCTAAAGGTCAGAGATGGAGCCCGTGGTTCTGGAGTGGATTGAGGGGGTGAGGAGTGGAGGGTGAGGGGGTGAGGAGGAGTGAACTGATCCGAGCGATGACGACAAACTGACCTGTGTGTGACAACAATAATAATAATAATTAATTAATTATTATTATTATTATTTGAACTTTATGGATCCCACACAACAGCAGATCTGCTGCCCCCTGGAGGCACCAAGTATGTAGTTCCTCTGGGATTTAAACCCAGGGCCATCTCCTTTCTGCTAACGGCTGGAACCAGATGAAACTGAAATCTCTTAAACTGACGACTAAAGCGGCCCCTTGGGGGCCGGAGGTGGACAGTTGGGGGAGGCAACGGGGGTGGGGGGCACTAGACAGGTTCACAACTCTTACATTTGTCCTTTTCAACAGATGAACCTCCCACTGGAGTGGACACTGATTCAAGACCTGTGACCTGGTGTAAGGACACCACCTGCTGGATCACACACTTAACTAACATACACAGCGTGCATGGACCCCCTCCCATTCACCACCCCCCCTTCGACTCTGTGATGTTTTCCAGCAGAAATTACTTTTTTATTTTGTATTTCTGCTGAGAGGAACTTCAGTAATTTCCCCCGACAGCCTGGAAATCAAACTCTGCTCAGAGTCTGCAGCTCCAACCTGACTGTTACTGCGGAGATTAATTACAACACACACACACACACACACATCAACACACCTGCGTTGTCAACATCAGTCGTAGCCCAGAGCCAGAGCCTAAACTGTTTGCATAATTATTTTCAGGAGGAATCGTTCCTCCGGAGGGCGTCACTCTCCAAAGAGGAGGTTCTACCGTCATGTTGGAGGAACAGCAGCAGGAGAAGCAGGTGTTCTGAGACCAGAGCCACCGTCGACCAGCGTCTGTGGTAGGGATGCACCACATTTTCGGCCACCGAAAAAAATATTCGGTCGAAAATGGCCCAAAAGTGCATTTTTGGTTTTCGATAAATTTAATTTATTATTTATTTATTATTAATTGATTCAATCGCAGTGACTTGATTTTATTGAGGTTTAGTTCACAGTCACAGCCATAAATGAAATGGTGCTAATATAAATACGGCCAAAAATTTTAATTTCAGTGCATCACTAATACATACATATATACACACACATATATATATATATATATATATATATATATATATATATATATATATATATATATATATATATATATATATATATATATATATATATATTTGGTTTTCGATAAATTTAATTTATTATTTATTTATTATTAATTGATTCAATCGCAGTGACTTGATTTTATTGAGGTTTAGTTCACAGTCACAGCCATAAATGAAATGGTGCTAATATAAATACGGCCAAAAATTTTAATTTCAGTGCATCACTAATACATACATATATACACATATATATACATATATATGTATATACACATTTATACATATATATGTATAATAACATAATATATATATGTATTATATACATACATATATAAATGTATTATATAAATTATATAATATAAAAATAATTATTCGAAAACAAATTTTTGACAGAAATAATTCAAACTTCCAATATATACAGTATATAAATGTTTTAGAAAATAAAACCCCAGATCACCAGTGTCAGTGTAACCACCAGCCTGGTCTTCATCTAATGATCCACTGATGTGAAGAGTTTTCTCTTCATCGTCTCATCTGTTGTTGTTGTTTTTCCACTGGTTTCACAGCAGTGATGGAAAAATTACTGGTTAAAAATAAATAAAGTGTAAATGACATCACGTTTGAAACATATGTTGTCGACCCTCAGACGTGTGAACCATAACTTTAGGAAAACAAATTAGCTCAAAACACACACACACACACAGACACACACAGACACAGACACACACACACACACACACACACAGACACACCTTCAGGTTTTTGTTGTTTTGTGTGTGTGTGAGCCATTCACCTTAAACCAATTAAACTACAACAACGGCCTGTGTGGAGTTTATGCTAATTTAATTACAGACCTGAGTGAAACATTAAAGGTGACAGAAACGAATGAATTAAAGGTCAAACTACAGACGAAGCATCAGAAAACACAAATTAAAAATGTTGTTTTTACAGTGAGTGAATATTAATGGATCTGAGTGAAGATAACATTCCTGTGCAGCTGTTTCTCTTACTTTAATTTTCTGAAGTGTGTGTGTGTGTGTGTGTGTGTGTGTGTGAGCCAGTGTCACTGACAGAGGCTGGAGACTTGATGATGCTTTACACTGTTAACACTCCAGCTTGTAAAGCCTGTGGCTACAGCCTGACATCTGAGCTGCAAATCTGTGCATGTGTGTGTGTGTGTATGTGTGTGTATGTGTGTGAGTGTGTGTATATATGTGGATGTTAGAGCTGTAAAGCCACCGTTTGACAATGCTCTTTCAGCAGGCCGCCCTGCGTTCGCTCCTGGCTACAGGAGCCAGCTGGGTGAGGCAGCGACAGAGAGGAAGGTGGGGAGAAAGAAGGGTGGGGTGAGGGGGAGAGGGAGAGAGGGAGAGAGAGAGAGAGAGAGGGAGAGAGAGAGAGAGAGAGAAAATTGAATAAAGTAAAGGATGAAAAAAAAAACAGTTTCCAGGTTTTTACCAAGTTCAGTTTCTTCATTTTCCTCTGATCAGCCTCCAGTGTCGTACAGTGGACACTTCACTGTCACATCTTAAACTCCGACTCATTCAGAATAAAAACTGATCAAAGACCAGTTTTTTTCCCACCATTTCTAAAGAAAACTTTGGTGAAGAACGTTCTTTTGGTTCTGGGGCAACGAGTACAACTCAGGGTTTAGAAGGGGGGGCGGGGATGGGG